ATGCCCATGCATGCTTTAACTTACAATGCCTTCCATCACTGAATCTTAAGTTAAGGAAATTGTTACAGTAGTAACAGTGGAAATGTGTGGCCCAAAGCCCTAATGAGGAAACAACAGTCCCAAAACGTTGGCAAACTAGAGGTTATTAATAAAATGACAATCAACCACTAACTATTCCTAGAATTAACTGTGTGGTCGTGAATTTAAAGCTAAAACAATTTAGGTTTTTCGTCCCAGATGCTCCAGAGAACTGCGCACCACAGATTTACCCTCTTTTGAAGTCTGAGAGATTACACATTTCGTCCATCACTAGTGTTCATCGTCGCAGACAAAAGCCTATAATACACTGCAATATAACCTTCAAAACGTGGCACGTCAACTATGTAATATAGCCGCGTGGCAGAGTCTACACGTCTCACGTGCCGCCAACATACAAAACAGAATGTATATTGCATTACAAAAGGAAGACAAGATGAGATGGTGTGGCGAACTACAGAGAGTAGCAGGAAAGCAGTAGAAATGAGAGGCACAGGATAGATGGTGGTGGAAAAGAAGAGCAGAAAGTATAGTAAAAACGAAAAAAAAGGATTAACAAGACAAGGAATACTGACTTGCAAAATGAAATGTGAATGAGAGGACTAATAGAAGAATAGTGGGAATTCTATAGAGGCAAAATGGTGAGTTAAGTTGGTATTCTAAGTGTTGCCAGGCGTACAAGTGTAAAGGTGAAGACAAACAAAAGAAAAATTAGAACTTTACGGCGACGAAATAGAGTGTATCTTAAACGACGTCAAACGTTTTTTATTATTATTATTATTATTATTATTATTATTGTTGTTGTTAGTTTCCTCTACATCACGACTAAGATGTTAGGAGTCGGCTGAATAATAAAATCTACTCCGGGCTGCAATGAGCTACCTAAGGGGCAGATGTAGTGACTGCCTAACACTTTGCGTAAAATGTGGGCTGTTCCAAATAAAGCAATTTGCACTTCCCAGTCTTTTGAATGACCTGGGTGTTTAGCCAATTTCTTGCACACATTTTGCGGAACAAATCCCAGAGCTCTGATGACTATCGGTACGACCTGAGCTTTTACGTCCCACATTCGACTGATCACGGTTTCCAAACACTTGTATTTAAGATGTTTCTCTGCCTCCTTGGTTACGACGTTTTGATCGCAAGGCACAGCAAAATCTTCAAGTACCCACGATTTTTTTCCATATCCTGGATAACAATATCCAGTTTGTTTGCTGCTATAATGCGATCCGTTTGAATTTGTTGGTCGTACAATATTGTGTAGAGTCCAACCGATGCCACCGATTTTGGTGAGTGTTCGTACCACTTGGGGCATGTGCTTGGAACTTCGAGGGCGGTACAGATCTGCCAACAGAAGTAACTATACACCCTGTCGTGTTTTTTCAAGCATTCAGTCTTTGCTAGAATTGCACGAGCTGAGACGATATGATCAATAGTTTCTACGTGTTCCATGCAGGTGCAGCATTTATCATCTTAGGAATTTTTATGAATCACTTAATCATAATGTCGGGTTCTCAACGCCCTATCCTGAGCAGCTATTAGAACTGCTTCCGATTCTGGCTTTACTTATTTACACCAAACAGTTAAAAACTGTGTGACGTGCTGTGGGGAGAAGTTAAATTGAAGTTACATTTATATTTATTTCCAGACGCAAAACAAGGGGCCATCTTAGCATTTGCTCAAGGATCAGCGAAACTGGACGAAAACCTGATCAAGAGGGGGGTCATTGACCCAAAAGCTGAAGTACAATACTTGTTACAGGTTCTTTAAAACTATACAATTAAAATAGTAAATAGTATACAAATGTAGTTAAAATTAATATTACTTGCCTTTTCTATGCTCGGTAATCTCTAATTGTATAGAAACAGTTGTGCAGCAGAAAAGATTTTTCTTGGGACTTAAACTTTTGAATCGAATTTAATCGCTTAATGTCATCTGGCAAGGTGTTGTAAAATAATGTACTTGAATTGTGTGTGAATTTTTTGTAGTGAGCGGTTGATACTGTCACCTGATGAATATGATTGCTACGTCGAGTGTTGTAGTTGTAGATATCAGTGTTTGCTGAAAATATATTCCCACCCTTAAGTAAGTCATTTTTAACAAAAACCACTGATTCATATATCAATCTGAATTTGTAAGAATTCAGAATGTGTAGCATAAAGAACTTAATTTAGTGTTCAATTCATTGAAAGGAACGTTCCATTTAAGGTCTGACTGAATTGAAAGACCTAAAAATTTCGTAACCTTTACATCAGTCAATGGCACACCGTTAATTTTTAATGAAGGACAGAGCTGTTTATTTGAAATGGAAAACTGCATTGAAACCGTTTTCTTCTCATTTACTATTAATTTGTTATTACGGAACCAATTTGAAATATCTGATATAGTACTATTCATGGTTTCTTTTTAGCAAAGAATATTCTTATCATCCGCAAAGAGAACTGTTCTTCCGTTTATAATCTTCGAGGGAATATCGTTTACGTATATTATTATTATTATTATTATTGTTATTATTATTATTATTATTATTATTATTATTATCATCATCATCATCATTATTACTAGCAGTAGTAGCTTAGTAGACGTTGCAGCAACTTGCTGAATGTCACTGCACAAGGCAGATTATAAATCCCGAAGACACCTAGTAGGAAGAGAATAGGGCCTAAAATCGATCCCTGCGGGACTCGACATGCAATTGGCAAAGAATCAGAAAGGTGTGTACATAACGTTCCATTATTCCAGTATTCCTACTATAAGATAGTTATTTAAGGTATGAACATAACAAATCTAGAGCGTAAATCTCGTACGTATAAAAAGTCTCTTTAATACTTTAGAAAAAACGGACAAAAGATAAATTGGCCACTAATTTTGAATTTAATTTTCGTTGTCTTTTTTGATAAGGGGCTTAATCTATTTCAAAAGTATCTGGAAAAATTACTGTGCATA